CAATGATTAATAAGCATATTAATGCCCAATACAAAAATAAATATAAAAGCTTATAAAGTACTTGTGACATTATTTTATTTAAGAAAGTTGATTTAAAATTTGCTTTAAATTGTGTTAAGTATAAAAATGAAACTTTTTGTTGGAAGTAATATTGTTTTGACAATGTATGTATAAATCCATTTAAAAAAAAAAAATTTAATTACAATAAGACATTCCTAGCCTATAAGGCTATCTACATTTATGGATAATTAATAATATTAATTGTTGGCTATTTTAACATGATAATAGTATAAGAAGAAATAATAATGATAATAACAATAGTAACAGTTGAGATGGTTAAACAAATAGACAATATTAATTGTTTAGATGRATAATATAATTACATTATAGTTTCAAGTAATTTAACTTATAGTAATAAATGAATAAAATCATGCGGACAGCCGCGTTTTAGACGTCTTTTCAGTGGTGGACATGCATAATTAAAATAAAAGCTTATGAATTCTTATTATTTATGTTATTTTTAGTTTATAATCATTAATCACTGTATGTCCTATCAATACTTAGATAAATTTACATATTTGAACAAAATAATATGTTATTTACTTACAGTTTTAAGTATACTAACCATGCAGTTAAGAATTTTGAAATATACATATAAGTAGTAATTTAAAGTAGTATTTAATTTTATATTAAACAAATTTACCATCATTTTTGAGACCATTAAAAATAGAGAGTTTATTAGGTAATATACTAATATGTTTATATGTTTTAATAAAACTATTAAAGTTAGGTACATACTTTCATATTATATTATTTTAAATAAAAGTAATTCATTAGTATTATGTTTAAGAAAAGTTGAGAAAAGCTTTATTTTAATATTTAAAAATTAATTACCTTATAACAAATTGAGATGGATTAGCTCTTTTTGGAGCTTTGGTCATAACATCTTTAAATAAGGTTTCAAAATTTTCAATTAGATGATTTGGTTCATCTGAAATCTAAAACAAAAATATATGATATTTAGTATTCTATTTTTGATACTAAATAAAAATTGTATTTTACCTGACCAATTTTCATTTCAACAATTCCTAAAGCTTCATCATATGGATCCACTTGCATATTGTATTTAATACCTTTTATATAATGTTTTACCATGGCTACTAAATCTAATGTCAGTGAACCTGTAATTCAAATAGTTTTCATTATACTTTGCTAAAATTCCTTTACTACGACTGAATAACAAACCATGTTGAAGACTTGGATAACGTTTCCTTAATAGTCCACGGATGGCAGGTAGTTCTGTTAAAATATCGGGATGAGCAAGTACATATTGAAAATCCGGTAACATAATGAGACCTCTCTAAAAAATAAATTGTAATTATATTAGGTCTAGGGAATTGTATTTAAATTTTTTTAGTATAGTATCTTATCAGTTATCACTAAGACTTCTTTTATTTTTTTTTTATATTTGTCGAGAAAATAATAAACAATGTGAGTGATGTATAAATATGTTTCATAACACAAAAAGGTTATATTTAAAATTTTATTTTGCATATATTGTTATTTCATATAAATGTATATTTGAGTATATTAAACAAATTAAGAGCAGTTATAATTTTGGAAAATTTTGATATTAAATATAATATAATAAATAATAATTTATACACAAATATAATTTTCCAAATGCCTACAGTTAGAATTACTTTATTGAAATTTGATACTTAATATTGGTATTATCAATACAAAATCTAGGTGTACTGTTATTCATTTAATATGTGATCAACCAATATGATAATTTATATAATATACGACCTTACTGATCTATTAACAGGCAAGATCTATATTTTTTTTCAAATTACATTTTGCGTTATGCTATGTTTTAATTATTGTATTTTGTCATTATATCGTTTAAAAATTGTTTTTATGTCAAATATAGCAACACGACAAAATTATAACATTTGAAAGCCCTGAATTAATAATTAGTTATATACTTGTATTTGTATTAATTTTAAGTTATTATTCTAATACTATTATTAAAAAATTAAAATGATTAGTGATATATTTTTAGAATCACATCTCATAATTCAACAATATAGGTAATATATGCCAGTAATTACTTATTTCTTATTATAAGTATATTGATTTAAGATTGAATAGGAAAATATTGTGATAGAAAGGTAATTAATTATAGTAATAAGTGGTATAACAAGATGTAATATACCTCTATACTTTTAATAACTTCTTTACCACCAACTAGCATTGCACCAGCATTTCTAGCTTCTTCCATCATTTCAGCACTTTGACAAAATGCTAATATTGTTCTATCTTCCCCATGGTCATAAGGATGAGGTAATTCAATTATTTTATGATATTTATCCACAAATTTATTTTTTTTATCTGTAGTTAAGTCTATTTCAAGACGAACATTAAGAGGTGCATTAGGTACATTGATCATTGTTGGATGATGAAGTTCACGGTGAGCTAATATGGCTTCCAACAAGCTATATCTGTATTATTTTATAAAATATGTAAGTATGAATAATTTAATAATGTAAAATAGATCAAAACTGACCTGCGCATTTGGTTAAATAATCCAAGGTAGACATCATCATTGGATGAACGCCAAGGAAATGTTTCAATTGTACGACTTGATTTTTCTAGCTGCCTATAAACAGTTATAACTTTATGAAAATTCTCTAATTATTATAAGAACAAAAAATGTGAAGATTGTTTATGATATTAAGTATTATGTATTRAATTATTAAAAAATTAGTGATGCATGATGATGGTCAAAACATTAGTATAGTACAGTGATCTCAAATGTGGGGGCTACCACCCTTTTGTGGGCATTTTTATTTTGAAATGGGCTCATTAATCATTTACATTTTTATTGTTTATAACTGATTGCAAATAAAAACTAATTTGAAATACAGAATTATGTAGGTATAATATTTATAGGCACTTAAATAACATCTAAATAATTATATTAAAGGACTATAGATTTTAGGTACTAGGTGGTTGAAAAAAATTGATTGGGAGGGGGCGGTATGAGATTTTTAAAATCTAAAAGGGGCGTTGAGTTAAAAATGTTTGGGAAACATTGGTATAGGGTTTATCATTTATATAATTCATGAATTTCATTCAGTTAAATAGCTAAATTAATAGTCTATAGGTGGCTCAGGATACTTTAAAATAGTAATAAAAACATATGTTACTATTTATATTAAAGAAATGTAAGTCAAGTTAAATATTGCATTCCTCAAATAGTTGATCTTTAAGCACCTAATTGTACGAGAGTATATCRATTTTAAAATAAAGAATACATAGATGTATTAGTAACAAAAACCAATGGATACTACACAGAAACTTGTTTAAATAAAAATAAAGATTTTAGAAGACATTGCATTCATTTAGTGAACCAAATATTTTTTAAATACTTGAATTTAATATAGTAATATGTAAGTATTATTAAGTGTATGTCTATATTAAGAGAAAAATAAATTTTTAAGATCAAATACTAGAAACTAAATTAAATCTTGCAATTTTTAGTTTAAACTTAGTGCTAATATAGATCTTTAAAGTTAAAAGACATGTTTATTCAAACAAAATTTACTACTGACTTTTTCTTTAATATAGGTATATATTTTCTTGCTTTGGCTAAATTAGCAGCTCTGTTTTTTTTATTAATTTTTGCTTTTCGCTCTCTTGTACATTTACGTGCACGATATCGAACTGGCAATATTGAAGAAACTGTTGGCAGCGAGCGAAACAGATAACTAAAATCTAAAAATAAAATATTCATTAAAAGGCGAACATAGAGCATTTTCACTTGTGCAACACTTACTAAACATTTTATCGATTTTATTATCAAAGACCTTGTCAAAAAAATGTTATGTAGTACGTAAAAGATTTCTGAAATGTCAGTGGTATTTCTTCTGAATCACCTGTAAACGATTACCTATAATAAATCGAATATTTTCATTATATTTTTCAATGCAAATTTGTAAGGTTTAAATCTGACATGCAACGCTTTTATTGTTTTAAAATCTTTATATTTTCTACTTCTAAAGATATACCAGCTTAGAAAGTGAGTTATACCTTAAAGTAAGTACAATCAACTAATTTATTTTGACATGGTTAAAAGTTAGGACAGTGAAAGAATGAACTAAACTTACTAGACTAAATAGTAAATGTCTAAAATGTCTTAATTTATGTTTATCAAAATATATTATTTTGTTAATAAAAACATAACCTCAGTACCTAACCAACTGAAATATGGGTAACATATTATTATCAATACCGACCAATCGGATCTAAGCGATTATTATTACTGGTCACACTGATATCGTTCTTATATCATGTTTTGTTTTTTCGTTTACTTAGCTATATAGCTACTGCTGTCTAGTGTCTAGTGTYGGATGATTTTAACTTTATGTATTTTTTAAACTCTGTGTTGTGAATGATTTTTTGTAGATTAGTCATTACCATAGCCGCTTCCCTTTTTGAAGATTGCATTAAACGTTAGGACACCTGTCGAACAAAACGGTTGGATTTGATTAATAAAAGTAGCAGGTAAAACAATTGAATTGATATTTATACAACAAACAAAGACTTATTTACTAACAAGTGGCTCTAGGGTAGATGGAATGTAATACAGATTAATTTGGTTTTGGAATATTTCATCGGATAAAAATGTATAATTAATTAAGAAGAAAAGTTTTTATTATTATAGTAATGTTTTGATAATATATATATTTTTCTTTTAACAACAGACGAGTCTCACCTATTGTTTATATTTATATACCTGATAATTACCATATTGTGATGATAGTTTTTAATTTAAATTTCATAGAAAAATTTATCTGTGTCTTACATATTGATTATTAATATTTTTTTACAACCAACAGATTTCTGTAGTTGACTCAATGAACGATTCAACAGAGGAATGTTCTCCATTTAAAGACAGAAAGAAAAAGTAAATTAATTCAACCGTCTTTCATATAAATTTTGTATTTGTGGTTTGTCTAATGTATTTTTAATGTGTCTAGAACTCACATGTCGCTCAATGATAAAAAACGTTTAGCTCGGGAAAAAGCTGAGCAGTATAATAGTAATGGCAGGCCTTTACGCCAATATCATATGTTAACTGCTGAAGAGGTGAAACAGGGGAAAGAAACTCATTGGGAAGAATTGGAAATCATTGGTATTTTATTTTGTTTTTATGTCCTTAGTTAAATAAATTATTTTCATTTTTTTATATTGTTAAAAATATTAGGTTGTGTAAAAAACATAAGTCCTTCTTTATGGAATTTGACGACATTAACAGGACTTTACCTGAATGACAATCAATTAACACGTTTACCGCCAGATATATCAATGCTTGTTAACTTGCAATATCTGGATTTGTCTGGAAATAAATTACGCAGTTTACCTGCTGAACTTGGTGAATTAGTATACCTCAGGTAGAAATTAGTTTTGAACACTTTTAATAATTGTTAATTTCTGTAATTTTTTTTATACTACATATTATATTGTATTTCAGAGAGTTACATTTGGGTTATAATATGTTAAGATCACTACCACATGAGTTGGGGCGTTTATTTCAATTGCAAGTATTAAGTTTAGCTGGTAATCCTCTGTGTCAAGAAGTAATGAAGTTGTATAGTGAACCAAATGGCACACATAGATTGCTCATGTACCTTTTAGATAGCTTACAAGGTAAGATAATATATTTCATTAGTAGTATTCACTATTCATTGCAAATTAGTTAGTTTTAACTTTTAAGTTTATTAAAGTTAGACTGTAAATTATTAAGGTTAGGTTYAGTGGCATAATTTAAAGATTAAATATAGTTATGTGCAACATTTCGACTGGCTTTTACAAATAACAAAATATGTTTGGTCATCCCATTAGTTTTCTATAATATAGGTACCTGATTCTCTTGGCCAAATCATATTGACTGTTTTGTTGAGCTGACGCTGTAGAGACTGTTTATTTAGTATTTCTCCCACATATTTACTGCATTTGATATTTATAGTATTATTCAAAACATATTTAAATAATTAATGATGGGCGATATCGGTGGTAACTAATTTATTTATCAAAAAAGATGTTTAGAATGTTT